GCAATGACCCCCTGTCCACCCTCAACCTTGCCCATTCAAATTCAGCCTTCCCTTACCCGCTGGTAATACGTACAGCCCCGTGAAAGTTTTTCACGAGTAAGTCGCGGGTAAGTTAATATCTCGGCAACCTCGGAGTCTAGGAGGCTGAAGTTTTAGTGCAATGACCCTCTGTCCATCCTCAACCTTGCCCATTCAAATTCAGCCTTCCCTTACCCGCGGGTAACACTTACGGTCCTGTCAAAGCTTTTCACGGGTAAGTTAATATCTCGGGAACCACGGAGTCTAGGAAGCTGAGGTTTTAGGATAATGACCCCCTGCCCACGCTCAACCTTGCCCATTCAAATTCAGCGTTCTCGCGCTCCCAGTTGCCACCTACGGCCTTGTGAAAATTTTGGCGGATAAACTATTTACTCGGGAATCACGGAAAAATATTCATCCTTCAAGGTTTCGAATTCAGCTTTCATACGCTGGTGCGTGAAATTTTTAACCGTTTTTCAATGTTTGAGCTATTTTTGCATAGACTAAAGTACAAAGCAGTGGAAATCATTAGTAAGCAATCGTTCGATGGGCTGAATTGCACAAAACGCATGATCGCACCAGCTAGTCTGGTGCGCGTTGCAATTTATTCTGTTTGCTGTGCTGATCAGAGTTCACTTGCTTCCGAACACACACATACAGACGACCTCTCGACAGTGTGCGTCTTTGCTCACTGCACAGCAAAAACGCATTGATAAGATGAATGCAGTGATTCTCCAAATGTGTAGTCGTGATTTTGCATCAACGCACACTGAAACTACAAAGCCAGAATTAGGAAAACAGCGTAAAAATATTAATTCTGTAAAAATCTGTGAAATAATAAGAATCATTCAGTGTCAAACGAATGGTGGCCCACTTCTGATTACAGACATATGAGATTAGGCAGAAAACAGTCAGTCGGCGACAGAGAAGAATAATGACGAGAGTAATGGTGAGCCTGAATTGCTCAGATGTTTTTGGTGGCCAAAAGTTTCAAAAAAAGAGATAGCGAAAACAAAGCTTATTGCCAGCCAAAGCGGACATCTAAATTCTTTTATATTCTAGTACCTGAGCACTGTCTTAGGCGACGACCTTTCGTCCCACAGCTATCATCCTCTAGTGCAAAGATTCGACGTCTCTTTTTGGAATGTTGCCTGATTGAGCAAACCAGAGCCAGTACCGTTCCCCAGTGTACAAAGCATACCACAGTACGGAGCGAAACAACGAGATTTCGATGAAGTGCTCTCTTACTGGCTGAGGTGAAAGCAAATGACAGTTACTATTAGACCAGGTCTGCCGCTGATTGACAATTGCACGGCAGGACAAAAGACAACAGATGCGAACCGAGTAGCTCAAGAGCAGTGCTCATTCAGCCGGCGAACGTACAGAAAAGGAATCAGAATTACACTGAAATAGGACACATGGAAGAAAGGCAGTTATGCATTAAACGGTTTTGGAAGGTAATAAAATTAGTCCGAAGTCGAACGGATATCACCAAACGACTCTCACAACTCTTTAAGCAATCCCGAAAACTAGATTACTCGTTGTAAATTGATCCGAGAATCTGCGGAGCTGGAAAAGAAAAATGAAAAACAATGAACTAACCTACGAACACCCAGTCTACCACCATCTGCATAAGTGAACGTTATTTCATACATTTCGATCACTTCGTCAGCCTCTTCTGCTTCACTCATCAAAATACGCAGATCTCGAAGCTGCAATCTGCATGATTTACTACAGCAATGGGCCAAGTGCATGAAGTGCATCCACACAAATTTCAAGTGAATTTAGACTGCCTTCCGTTTGCTTCTGCAACCCTCGGAAGAAAAATCTCTTTATCCTTGCCAGCTGTAATAAAGTAGACTAAGCGGTGTCGCTCTGTTTTCTTCTTAGTGCTTCCATCTGTTAGACAGTACGATTATAATAAAGAAATTATTCACTCTACTGAGTTCTCAACTACAGAATGCCAAAAGAAGATCCTTACTATGAAATATCACCACGTGTCGAGGAAAAGCGCCTCGAATGGAAAATAGAAAACAAAGGAAGCAAAAAGCGATACATAAATCAAATAAAATTTTGTTTTCGCAGTACCGTAACCTCCTTTGTAATAACGGTGCCACCGTCAAACAGCGGCACCAACATCAATCATGTATGCAAATTTCTTTGTAAACTGGACCTAACTTGAGCGAGGCGGAGCTCCAGATGGGTTCAGCAGCCGATTTTTTCGGCTTATACTTTACTGTTAACATTTTGTCGACGCCGACCGGACGCCGTGTGCGGACACCAGTACGCCGATCAGCAACAACATCCTCACACATCGATCGGACACCGTCTGCCAGGATCAACACGTCGTCCCGACATCATACCTCTCTTCCACCCCTTTTTTGTTTCTTATTGTTATTTTTCTATAACATAAATATGCCTATGTTACCTCTAGTTGACAAAGACAACTGAGGTTAAGCATAGTAACGGTAGGAAACTCCAGAAAAGTGAACGTCGGAAAGAAGAAAACTTTATGTTTTCACCACACCACGAAGATATACATAAGTTAGAGCCAAACAAAGCACAATACACAAATAATTGTGATTGTTCTGAAAACCAAGCGAAACTTACATAATGCTTAGCGAGTGCATGATTTGCGCCGGTAATTGAGAAGTCAAGCGCTTCGCAGACATCCACTTTGTACGAAAGCATTGGACACTCCACCCCTAAAAGTTAAGCGAACGTGTAGTTTGCGGCTAAGCATTTTAAGGTGCTGATAAGTTTCAGCACTGATGCAGGAATCCCTCCACTGCCCAAAACTCATGCTTATTTTCTCATCACTTGTCTGAGGAGCTCAACGTTGTGTGTTTTGCCAGTTCTTGCACTCATCCTCTACGGCTGTGCGTGTCAACATAGTTTTCGCGCACACAACATCGTTTTCCTCGTCGTATTGCGTCACACACATTGATGCGAGTCCGTGATGAAATTGACGCATCACAGGAATGCGTTCAAAAAAGCCGTTAGTCTGAGCAACTAGTGAAACGGCCAATTTTTCATGAATTTAAGTGCCAGCTAAGTCCAACACCAAAACTGCTCTTGCCTAACTTATCTTTTCAAGAAGCAGAGATACTGTGAAGCAACCCAAGTGATTCTTCAACATCTTTTCAACTTGGCGAAGCGTGTCGAACAAGAAGAAAAGCAAAGAACAAACGAAAGGATGGCCAACCATCAATGACAGTATCCCGAAAGGCCGATGGTGGCAAGATGCGCCTTTTGCTCATCACTTTCAGTACAATGAGCGCTAGCATTCGCTGCATAAAGAGTGTGCGAGATTCTTCGTCATCCATTGATACCAGAAATAACTGCATCCTTTCCATTGCTTCTGCAATGCCTTTACCGCATGAAAAATGTCCGTATTCATAATCCACTCTCTAGCACAGGATGGCGAAAATTAACGTGACCGCTTAATGCAGCTTGTAAATTCCATGTTGAGCATCCACAATCCAACGCCTTTTCCCCAAAAGTGAAGTGTCGTTGAAAGCGTGAACAAAGAAAATATCTTCAGTATCAGATGCTCCGCTATACTTTTACTCGGATTGGTGATGGAGAAGGCATTCGGCAGTGGTTTAAATGTTAGCGCCTTGTCAAGGGCAACCAAGCCCTGAAGGTTGATCGTCCTCTCTTGTAAGGATGCTCAGAAGCTGGCTCAACTCCGTGATATGCGCCGGCATCAATTACAAGCGAAATGGTCCAAAAAGCAGCTGGAAGGTTATGGTTTGCAGTATTCCATAGCAAATAGGTTTCTTAGGAATTATTTAATGCCGAAGTGTTACTGTCTCGCTGCAGAGCTGATGGCATGGTCCACTAAAAGAAAGCGAGTGGGCCCGATGCGCAAAAAGGGAGTGGTGCTGACGCGTAGGAAGGAAAAAAGTGCGCGAAGTAAGAATGGGGGTTGAAGTGCACAAAGTAGAGAAGTGGTCCTGACACGAACAGAGGAAAGTGAATCTGACGCGTACGAAGTAGGGAATGCACCTAACTCCAAGGATGCGGGGCCTCAAAATGAGCAAACCAAAAGATCGTTCCTGTATGCGCATATTTCCATATCGATGTGCAATGTCCTACCAAATTTTTTACAAATAGAAAGGATTATGACATTTTTATAATCGAATTCAATCGAAACGCTAAATACTTAGAAACCGCGGCAATTATTAAACATGAACCCAAGCTAAATAACAAATCTGCTAGTAGCACCGAAAATCAGTGGGCTCAATTGCAAATGTGCTTAAATCACTCAAAAACTGATTTTAAGTATCACAATAAGAATGCTTTTTGTACGGAACTCAGTAAAAGTTAAGAAATACCAAAGCGGAATGTTTCGGTCCAATAAGTCGCATGTATTCCAAATTGGCATCATAAGTGAGCCACGCGCCAGAACGGCTGTTGTGGCAAGAAGCTACATTAGAAATATATGATAACAGACAAATTTTTTTTATAAAATAACATTTCAAAGGAGAAAATTTAAAAATTTTCAGAACTATGAAGAGGGGAAGCCAAAAATGAGGAAGAGGAGAAAGGCGACGCGTCAAGCAAGCGCAAGCCAAGGGGAAGGGAGGCAGTTCAGCGGGAGACGCGAACGGCGCAGGTGCACACCGAAGACGTATAAGTGCCAGTGAAGTGGCCCGGCTGCTTGCCGCGCGCGTTTGACGTCGTTTTGGCTCGAAGTGTTGCGAAACAAGGGTGCCCCGGGCATCCGAACAGATGGGGGCGGGCACAGATGAAGGCCAGCCCCTACGCGCCGACGCCAACAATTACTGAAATGCACCTAAGTGGGCGGGTTTAAACTACAATGTCAATTTCAATTGGATGACGGAATGAGGGGTGGAGATAGACGAGGGTAAGGGGAGGGACTGATGGAACTTGTGCGTTTTGTGCTGTGTAACAGCAGTATAAAATGCATAATGTCACGGGATTGTCTGTACATTTTGTCCCGCACTTTCAATTTGGGAACCACAAAAGCTAGGCGACTGAAATTTTAGTATGATGTTCCCAGCCAACTTGTGACGGC